CATGCGGAACAGGGCCGGTGGACTTTGCGGACCGGAGAATTTCGGCGGTGGCGATTGCGGACGGAGGGGTAGGCACCTACATATGCTGCCCCCCACCCCTGCGCTGTATATTAAAGAGAAAAATTACCGGAGAGGCTCTGGATTCCTTGCCGTGGATGTAGAATGAAAACAATATTAGTATTAAACATTAGTATTATATTAGTATAAAAACATATGAGCTGTGAACATACAGTAAATTTTTAAAAACAGGCATATCAGAAATCAAGAAACTGAAAAATCGTCAGTTTCAGTTCATTTTTAGGATGAAAAACATGTCGTAAATTCTAGTCCAAAATTACTGAAAGTCGTAATTGTTGAAAGTCGTAAAAGTTGTAATATTTTGACTTTCAGTAATTTTGGACTAGAATTTACGACGTGTTTTTCATCCTAAAAATGAACTGAAACTGACGATTTTTCAGTTTCTTGATTTCTGATATGCCTGTTTTTAAAAATTTACTGTATGTTCACAGCTCATATGTTTTTATACTAATATAATACTAATGTTTAATACTAATATTGTTTTCATTCTACATCCACGGCAAGGAATCCAGAGCCTCTCCGGTAATTTTTCTCTTTAATATACAGCGCAGGGGTGGGGGGCAGCATATGTAGGTGCCTACCCCTCCGTCCGCAATCGCCACCGCCGAAATTCTCCGGTCCGCAAAGTCCACCGGCCCTGTTCCGCATGTCCGCAATCGCCACCGTCAAAATATGAGAATCCGCAAACGCCACCCGATTCTTAGAATCCGCAAACGCCACGTCCGCAAACGCCACCGCACCCCTGTAAACCACCTATTTCCTCTACGGTTCCGGCTCCCTATTCTTAGGAGGGCGGTTCCTGAATTCGATCGAATCACACAGTGGAGCCATTGAACCTATCACGGAGATTGGCAGTCTCCTCGGCAAAATAGAAAAGACTAGAACTAGACTCTAGAAATGTAAAGACGTATGCACCACGACTGAAAACAAGGCTGGAATAAGATGTACAAACGTCTTCAAACTCCTCTGCAACAACGCCGGGCGAAGAGCCATAAAGAGTCTGTCGACCCTATACCTCATTGGAAAAAAAAGTAGTTCGGATTTAGAGTCCAGACCCTTAATAACATTGAAAAGAGAAAATACTCTTGATTCAACCGGGTTTTTGCATAAATCGAGAACCAAGCCTCTTAATTTAAGTGGATTTCCTTGTGATTCAAGCAAAAATCCGATGGAATCAAGAGTATATTTTTTCTTGTCATTATTTTCAAGAGTCTGGACTCTAGATCCAAGCGACTTTTTTTTCCAGTGCTATACACAAAATGATAGGAATTGAATTTGAATACACCACCGGAAAAAGAGGACGTACGCGTACGTCTCCTTTTCCATGACATGAAAAATAATTTTAAAAATCCATACAAAGAGGGTTATTCAAAATCGGCGATTTTACCCTACGCTTGGATTTTGCCCGGAGTTGGATATGTTGTTCCCTATCACAAGACACGCCTTTTTCCGGCATTGGCAAGTTCACCCGAAATTTTTCCCGCGCGTTACAGCGTTGCCAAGTTGAAAACAGGCAAATTCCGTAAGTGGCATCAAAATTGAGCTATGAAGTTGCAGTTTTAACGAAAATTCTTTAAAAATTACGCACTTTTAGGAAATGACCATGTTTTTAATGTCGCATTAATTTTAACATGCATTATTGCCAAATTTCCGATTTTTAAATTCGACAAATGTTACATATCCGCAAATACCCAAAAAGGCTATCTTCAAATTTGAATAAAAAGGTGTCTAATCGATAGTTCGTTCGATTCCGCATCCATCGATATATTATAGCTTGCTGGGAAACTTTTGGTTCGCGAGATATCATCATTTTTGTGAACAGCTTTATGGAGCGACGACGCTTTTTGAGTCCGGGCGGATAGAAATTTTAGCCTCCAAAAACACCGGGTAGCATTAATTCCATGGTTTCCTATGTAATTTTTGGCGCTGAATCCGAATTTGACCATTTCATAAAAAATTTGTCACCAAGATGTTGCCAAATTTGGCAAAAATTGCTTAAAATCGGCCTTTTTGGCGGATTATAGCCTGTGACTTGCCAGGAGTTGATCAGACGACAAAATTGGTTATTTCCACAGTTAAATCTCGTTAAACTATCTACAAGCTGAGTCAAATTCTTTCTGCTCACGGTAAAATTAAACGCGCGACAAGCAGCAAACTGAAAAAAAGACACCAAAATTGGCGCTTTTTGCGGTTTTTGTCGTAAGTTTCTTGTTTTCCGATTAAGAGAATGTTTCTTAGGAAAATCTGAATCACGCCGAGTGTAACGACAAACTATTGTATTGTTACATAATATATAGATAAAGAGCCGCTTTAACAGCGGTCTCTCGGGCCCCGCGACGCCTAACCGCTATAGTCCCTTGTCCACCCACAGGTCCTCAGTAATTTGGAGCGCCCTTGTTCCTTTTTAAGCCCCTTATTGTCCTTTCCTGGGCGTCTTCTTCAGTTTGGTGTCGTTACTTTTTTCTATTAAACTCCATTATCTCAGAATTATAAAATAAAATTGTATACTAAATATAGGGTAATGAATAATAACGGTCAAATACCGCCAAAATTCAACGATTTGTACGTAATTTTGGCAATATTGCAATGCGTCTTGTCTTGTTTTAATGAAGTCAGTCTGAGGAGTACATTTTATTCATTAATTCTTAGCAGAAAATTTTCCATTATTGTTTCAAAATGTGGTTTATTGACACGATTCGATAAAACTCACTATTTTATGAATTTTTCCTCTCTGAACTAAATACCCTAGTTATTAGTATATATCTAAGTTGAAAATTAAATTATTCTACAGAAGTGTATTATTTTGCAAGAGAGATACATTTATAAAATTTAAAAATAAGAGGTGAACAAAGAATATAGGACAATAATATAGAAAAAACCAGCGGAAATTAAAGTATTTTGTTTAAGCTTGGCAACATTGGAATATGTTCGATCTTATTTTATTGTTCAATTTTATTAAATTCTGCTCAAGTTGTTCATTAGTATAGTCAAGAAACATTCTCTTAATCGGAAAACAAGAAACTTACGACAAAAACCGCAAAAAGCGCCAATTTTGGTGTCTTTTTTTCAGTTTGCTGCTTGTCGCGCGTTTAATTTTACCGTGAGCAGAAAGAATTTGACTCAGCTTGTAGATAGTTTAACGAGATTTAACTGTGGAAATAACCAATTTTGTCGTCTGATCAACTCCTGGCAAGTCACAGGCTATAATCCGCCAAAAAGGCCGATTTTAAGCAATTTTTGCCAAATTTGGCAACATCTTGGTGACAAATTTTTTATGAAATGGTCAAATTCGGATTCAGCGCCAAAAATTACATAGGAAACCATGGAATTAATGCTACCCGGTGTTTTTGGAGGCTAAAATTTCTATCCGCCCGGACTCAAAAAGCGTCGTCGCTCCATAAAGCTGTTCACAAAAATGATGATATCTCGCGAACCAAAAGTTTCCCAGCAAGCTATAATATATCGATGGATGCGGAATCGAACGAACTATCGATTAGACACCTTTTTATTCAAATTTGAAGATAGCCTTTTTGGGTATTTGCGGATATGTAACATTTGTCGAATTTAAAAATCGGAAATTTGGCAATAATGCATGTTAAAATTAATGCGACATTAAAAACATGGTCATTTCCTAAAAGTGCGTAATTTTTAAAGAATTTTCGTTAAAACTGCAACTTCATAGCTCAATTTTGATGCCACTTACGGAATTTGCCTGTTTTCAACTTGGCAACGCTGTAACGCGCGGGAAAAATTTCGGGTGAACTTGCCAATGCCGGAAAAAGGCGTGTCTTGTGATAGGGAACAACATATCCAACTCCGGGCAAAATCCAAGCGTAGGGTAAAATCGCCGATTTTGAATAACCCTCTTTATCAATGGGCCTGTTGCATGCAAGAGATACAGCCGTGCGAATAGACTTTTCAGAGGTTAAATGACACGAAAATTACGATGGTCACATTAAAAAAGTCTGAAATACACTCCTTACTGCGCATTTTGCGTTGTGAGGAACGCGCTTTTTCAAATTTCCCGCGTCTGGGGGCAGTGTTCTAACGGAAACAATTAACGGCAACTCGCGGCTATTTCCGGTCAACTAAAACTGACAACATAACCTAAAAATCGGAGCTCGTGATATAGTGAAATGAAATGTAGAAGGATTGCGTTGGATATTTAAAAGTTGATCGATTTGGTTACCGCATAAAGCGTATATGGACCACTATAAGAGATCACGTTGGGTTTGTAAACAAACTGAAGGAAAAAATAACAACAACAACAACAACAACGACTCGGCATCTTCCGGAAATCACCGAGCCCGCCGTTTGCTCGTTTCCGGTGATTAGAAAACTGCCCCCAGACGCGGGAAATTTGAAAAAGCGCGTTCCTGACAACGCAAATTGCGCAGTAAGGAGTGTATTTCAGACTTTTTTAATGTGACCATCGTAATTTTCGTGTCATTTAACCTCTAAAAAGTCTATTCGCGCGGCTGTATCTCTTGCATGCAACAGGCCCATTTTGCTTGTAGTACGATGATTAAAAACATTGATAAATTTTTATAAATTTGTCAAAATATTTTTTATGATTTGAGTTTTCTTGGTAATATTGTCGAGGGGAGGAAAACTTTAAACGGCTCTGTTGCACGCAAGATACTACTTTCTCAACTAAAACTTGTTTCAATGTGAACCTTGTAAAGTGCTGGACATTTAAGCTGATTTTTTATTCTTAAAATCTCTCCACAGTGTAAAATCAAGGGAGTACCGCGTGACGCATAACATCTTCGGCGCAAAGCGCGTCGAAGGATGGACTGCGAAGCGGTCGGTTTGAGTTGAAGGTTTCTCTCAGTCGTGAGCATTCATGTGATTTATCAATTTTCAATGCGTTGCTCTCGACACGAAAACGAATTTTTTAACCCCTTCATCCGCGATACCTTTCATTTCTGAAGCACCACCTGGATCGTCTTCGCGGCGCTCGGCACACCTTGGTCGTTGTGCACGAAGAGCCAGTAATAGCCCCCGGGACAAACGCCGGGATCCGCGGGCAGGACACAGGTGTACGTAAAGGGCTTCCCCGCTCTTTGTTGTTGTTGTTTTGGCTCCAACGGAACTCGCCTTTGATCGTTGTTGACAGCGTGTGTACAGGCGCTTAAACGCATGAGGGAAAAATTCTTGCAATTAACATCGGTTTTTACGGTAAATTTACTTCCAGGTGACATTTTATTAGTTGAAATACTAAGGATTACAGGCCTGCGAGCTTCTTTTCCATTCTTATCCCAAAGATAGTAGGGCCAGTAGATTTGCATGTCCAGGTGGTTGGCCTCGCAGGCTCCGCATAAACCACCCCCAGCTGACAGCACAGTAGCGTTCATGGTAAGAAGAGCGATCGAGTGGTAGTTTCGAGGGATCTGATGCGGGGTAAGTTTCCGGATTGAATTGTCCGCGGGATCCCATATTTCCGGTGTTCTCACTGAACCCTTATCTGTAAATTGGGCACCAGTTTCTTGTCCACCAACGATGAATACTTTTCCGTTCGGCAGGATCACAGAGTTGTGATAAATGCGCGCAGAGGCCATTTTATTGGCGGTCGGTTGGACGTTCGCGATCGAGTTGGGTTCCTTGATGGTTATACAGTAGGCGTTGGTGGAGGCTGGCGAATCGACGTAATCCTCTGATCCACCACAGGTGAAGAGTTTGCCCGCAACGGCGTCAAACATGACGGCGTTACCGCACATGGCGTCGTTGTCGTCCCCGCGGGCGCCGGCACCCTGAACGCCCCCGTCGCCGTCGATCGAGTACCAATTCATATTCTTGCTCGGACCGGCGTGGAAGACGGTGTTGTTCTTCCAGCCGAAGAGCCATCCGTGGTTGTCCGCTCGGTAGACGCCGTCTTTATCGCCGGTCAGCATGGCGTCCGCCCGACACCCCGGAAGTTTGGTCCACTGGTTCGTGCCCGGGTCGTATAGCTCCCCGTTCTTGCCGTCGACGCCCCCGTTCCACGAGCCGCCGAGCACGAAGGTCTTGTCGTTGGAGCAAGTGGTGGAAGCGGTGTAGCCGCGCGGGATGAGCATGTTTGGCGCAGGGGTCCAGGTATCATCGTTGATGTTGTACTTGCTTGCTTTCTTAGCGTCGTTACCACCCGTCACCATCACCGTCCCTTGCGAGTCTATGGAAGCACCAGGACAGAACATGTCATGGCCCGTCTCCGTAACGGTGCGTTCTGTGACTGTCTGCGCGACCAAATCCACGGTGCAAGTTTTCGTTATACCGCCTGGACCATTCGTGAATCGGTCGTATCCCCAGGCTGACCATGCCATGAACCTCCCATCAGGCCTTTGGGCACAGGCAACAGCAACTATAGGCAAGTGGATGGTGTGACCCCATTTCCCTAGCCTTGTGTCCACTTTATCCGACAACTTTGATTCGAAGAATTTCAATTCTGCTATGCAAGTCTCCTGTCGATCGTCTGCTCCTTTCTTATGAACTACAGTGACAGTGCGGCATCCTACAGGCTCGAAGTTTGAGAACTTCCACACCACATCCACAGCCCATGTGCCGTACGCGATGAGCTTTCCATCGCAAAGAATCTCGTGCATATACACGCTTCCTTTATTGGTGTCCTTTGGCGGCGGCGCCAATGCCATTCCAGTTAAGATCCTGACCGTTTTAAAGTCAACCGTGATATTGTGTGGTAAAGGATTCGCTCCTGGGCCAGACTTGCTACACCAAAACGTACTTAAGTCACCATCTACCGCTGATCCACAACGGTTCCCTTCGTCGAAGCTGCTACAAGAACACTTCATGCCTTTGAGTATTATTATATTTCCATCCGGAGGCATGGAGTTGGTTCCCAACTGTTGTCCGTTGTCCGAATGCAGACCCTGTCCATTTGCCGTAGCGAAATCGTCGGCGCGAGAAACACCAAGAAGAGTCAGGAATTTAAAGAGAATCGTCGGAGTTGAGTTACGCATGGTCAGTCTACAGCTAGTAAGTACGTCAAAACCGATATTTAAGGATTCTAACAAGTGGTATTTGATAAAACGCTTTGTCGTGCGTCCTTGATGTTACACGCACGAGCATACGGGAGTGTAGCACAGCTCGAAGGATAATGCATGTTCTAGACGTGGGGGGTCATGGCCGAGACTCAATTCCACTCTAAGAAGAGTCGATCTGTATATGCTCAGTTTGCTGTCCTGGAAAAATAAAAAATGGTTGATCAAGAATGATGATTGAAATTGATATTGAATAATTCCATGAAGATGAATTCAGTTGATACGTAGAAGTATCGGATGCTAGGTCAGGATGGAAAAATTTCATGGAAAGTAAAATCTTAAAATTTCACTTGAAATATTCCATAAAATTTCAGAAATTTATGAAAGATATAGCAAAATACTGGTTCCTTTTCATGTTCGCAAAATGTAAAAATTGTGATATTCTTCTTTTTGTGTGTGCTTGAGTGCGGGTTGTATACTCTAGGCCCTGATTAATATGAAATATTTCACAGCTCTGTGAAATTTCATGGAAGATTTCACTGACTTATCTTTTATTTCTTTCTTACGTTACATGCCAGCCTGTGCTAGGCGCCTTCATCTCTCAATTTAGCGTAATTTAGGGGCCATTTTTTTTCTTTCTTTCAAAATTTGATCCGATTAAGACGGAAATACTTTTTTTACCTGGTTAATATAATTTAAAACGAATTATCCAACGTCGCAGAGCGAAATTCGTGTTCTGCAACTTTAACCGCTCATACATTTACATAGGTTGGGTATCTAATCAACAGATCGATTAAGGAGATTCGATGGACGTTATATTTTGTGTTAGAGCAACATGCGATTTATTACATCGATCAGTTTCATTTACTCAACTATTTGTCATTTTTTTCAAATTTTAAGATTGCACTTCGGTTATCAGAACACTAAAGAATTCACTTACCAACTTTGACAAAGAAATTCAACAATAAAGGCATGGTTTCTTTAGAGGAAAAATATCGCATTCGATACTGATATCGAAAGCGATACTTTCCCTCTAAAAAAAACCACCCCTATGTTACGTTGAATTTTTTTTTTTTTTTTTTTTTTTTTTTTTTTTTTCAAAATGGGTATGTGAATTTTTTAGTCTCTTGACAAAAGTTGTGTGATCTCAAGATTCGAGAAAGATAACGAGTAGCTGAAAAAATGGAACCAATCGATGCGATATATCGCATGTCGTTTTGACACAAAATATGAATATCGAATCATCTTAAGCAAGGAAATATGAAGGAGCAACTTATGTATTTATTTTCGTTGTAGGCTTATTGAAAAATATAACTATGAATCAGTGAAGTATATAACCCATTTTAAACTGCAAGGTTGCACGCTTGATTCGATTCGCATTGAACAAGAGTAAGGATCCGATAAAAAGAAATAAAAGGATCTGTAATCAAATCGATGACAGTGTTACCAAGCCTATGATTCCAATTACTATACGTTCAGTTGATGAAACTATATGAATCGAGACGTGCAAAAAGAACATGTGCAAAGAATTTCGGAGGAGAGGTTTCCCAAACAAGTTTTGGATTATGGATTCACCTGGGAAAAGGCGACGGGAACGTCCCATGAAGGGATGGCTACAGGGACAGGGCGTTGACGAAGAGAAGTTGCGTTGTCAGTAGTTGCCCGATAACCTCTGGGAAGATGAATACATGTAGCACTTGTGTGTCGCAGAACGCCAGAGTGCGTTTTAAAACTGCCTTATATGTATATGTATTTGCATTTTTCGCATGTCAAATTATTCTAATAGATTTCAAAATCCGTCTTGCGAAAAGTACGGAAATCCGAGTACCTATGGGCCACGGCCTGATATTATTAACCAACGGAAAACGGGGCTAAAAGTTGTTTGATATCTGCAATTTTCAAGTTTTGATTCGTGTGATTTCGAGTCGTCATCAATATTTCAGAGTTATTAGCATACCTTTTAAAGGTAGAGTAGCGCATTATAGGGTTTAAATAAGGTTTAAATAATGCTAAATGTTCTCGCCAATAAGTCACCGTCAGCTCGGACCGGCTGGGTCGCGGTTGTGGGGGATAGGGTTTTTGAGTTATTATTGATTGGTTTGTCGACACAAGGAAAAGGTTTTGTTTCGTTAGTCCGAGAAAATTATTTTTATGTTCCTTTTTCATATCCCATTCTTAAAACCACATCAGTTCAAGTATTTATTCATATTTTTCACTAAAGGCGAAAATTAAAAGGCGGACAATGAACTGTATCTTCAAAAATTACATTTTCAATTATCTGTACTTACGAATGAGGAGCCGTGCGAGCTTTTCCGACGAAGAGGGTCATAAACTGAAACAATTTTTATACAGTTAAAAAAGCAAAAATTTTAATTTTTTCAAATACTTAGTCGCCCACATCTTTGCTCAATAACAGACTCGTAGAACACTAGACCGCTCAGGGTCTTGAACTGAGTGTGACTAGATTTCGTGTGACTATCATTCCTCACAAAACACAATACCCACGAGATTCATGTTTTCCTCTTCGGTTTTGCTCGCGTCTGAATATTTTCATCTTAATTATGTAATTCAGCTGCGCAGTTGGCAAAAATTCTACATTCACACAATCGGAAATAACCCGATTTTAAGGTCATAATACGCGGAAAAATGTAGTTCCGATTTTGAGAGAATGAGTTCATGGTCTTCGTCGTTCAAGTTCGACGATGAACCCTTATTTTTCATTTACGTAAAAAAGTACTACCGATAAGGTGGGTGATATGTTCTTCCGCTTTAGACGTAAAATGGACCGCGTTTAACAGAAAGGAACCAAGCCACATCAGCTATTGCCAATTTTATATGGGCACTTTAATGTTTTACGAGAAAACGTTTGTGCGGATCCTTTTGAAAATGTTAAGGAATTTGCTTCGTACTATGGAGAAAATTCAATGAAGTATGCACGAAAATCCGCACAACTTTTTTCATGTAAAAAATTAAATTAGCCAATTAAATTTGTCAATAGCTGATGTGACTTGGTTCCTCTCTGTTTAACGCGGTCCAAATATCCTACATACCACCTACATCCTACATACCATGACGTCAATCCGGTACATTTTTAGAGATTTCCAGATTTTCAACGAGACCTGAGACCATATGTACAAAACGTTTTATGATACCCTTAAAGGGGAGTTATCTGACTTGGTATGCCGACAGTCCCATTGTGAGCCGTAAGAAAAATTTCGAACCCATGATTTTAAATGACTACCATTCTTTACTTAAAAGACTTATTTCATTTTTCTGAAAAAATTCTGATTTCCTCTGCAGCTGTCTTCGCACATGTTTGAATTATGATTGCATGGAAGAGACGGTCCCTTGTTAAAGTTTCCTCAATTTTTCGAATGGAACAAGCGAGGTTTCCAAAATTAATTGGCATTTCGGTCCTTGACCTCGTATTTGCATTACCAGCAAAAAACGATTAATTTTTTCCAAAAGGATGTCGTGAGATCACCCTAACATCATACAGATAACGGAACGCTCTATCTCAAAAATACGCCACCAAAAATTAAATGGAAGGATATACGGAGTTGCGTTCGGACCGAATACGTAACTATTTTAACTACACTGTGAGCTGGGTTGCCTACGCTGGATTTTGCGGGCGAAATCTGAGTTCTGCCCACAATAAAATTTACGTGCGCTCGCAATATACGGCTCTCATTTGTGAATTGCTATACTGCTTTGCCTAAGGAAAAACGTCGTATGAATATTCGAGAGTTGCCAAACTTCCTCCAATTAAGTGTACATTTTTGAGCAGAGTCATGCATATTTTCTTTTGAAATTTTCAGATAATTTAGATCTAATTACGAAGAAAATTCTCTGAAAAATTGAACTGAAGATATTCTCCAATTTTCATAAAAATTCGTATTTAATAAAAGGAAATTTGGCAACTGATGGAGGTTCATACGGCGTTTTTCCTTAGCACGGCAGTATAGGCGCGATCAGTGTTTTCCTCGAGCGTTTGCAACCCGGCTCATCGCGGAGTCAAAAATAGCTTCATATTGTGTTCGAACTGAATTTCGTAAGTAGTGCCATTGCTTTGCGTTCAGTGCATTATTCAAATGCCGATTTGGACTGACAGAAAGCATCTCAGTTTTAATGTCGTGTTAAAAATCTGTCCAACAGGAGCGTCCGAATATACAACCGGATAAGACGCGTCACGCTCCAAGGAAACACTAATTGCACCCGTACCCTATCGCGAAAGCCGAGAGTAGTTTTCAGATTTCGCCCGCAAAATTGAACGTATGCAACCCGGCACACCGCAGAGTTAAAATAGTTGCGTGCTGGGTCCGAACCCAACTTCGAAAATTCTCCCCTCGTTTTACGCTCCGCGCGGAATTCAAATGCCGAGTTTATCCTTTGGAAAGGAATCTCAGTTGGTTTATGTCTCGTGATTTTGTTTGTTATGCTTTTTCTCTTTTAACCGAGGAGCCTAGAGGATATTGCGCAAGATATTCTCAAATGATTTCAAATCTTCAGGGACTTATGGAAAATGAGGAGCTGAATTTTAAACTGTAAATCGTGGTAATTACGTTTAAATTTTTCTTGAAGAGATGGACAAGGATACTGTTTATTCCGCTTCGTTTGGATAAGATAAGAGCCTAAAATATCAGTTCTTTGTCAGAAAAAGGTTGTCTAATCGTGTAATCCTCCCTTCATAACTATGCCGTTGTATGCATTCAATTTTTATGCTGAATTTTTTTTCTTCAAACTTTCTCGATAATTTTCCCCAGCCTGGCAGTGACACCAGTCTTCGGGGGTTGGGTAGGGTGGCATGCATCGTAAGAAAGAAATGAAAGATTTGAAATTTCAGTGAAATATTTCATGAAATTTCACAAAGGTGTGAAATATTTCATATTTTTTAGGGGCTAGAGTATGCAACCAGCACTCATTGTCTAACACACAAAAAAAGAAGAAAGTCACAATTTTAACATTTTGCGAACATGAAA